GTGGAATATTATTTAATAAGCATACGATAATATAATTGAATATTTAAATAGTAAAAATTGCCACGGAAATTAGGTAGTGAACACCAGTCCGAGAATGACCGATATTCAATAAAATCAATTTAGTTCCAACTGAATGGCTTGTAAAGGTATTATCTACTGTGCTTGTTACCTGTTGCGTGGCCCTCTGTGCGGCGCGTAGCGGCGAGTCGGCTCTTGGTGCAGGAGTACCAGCCTGCAGCGCGGCCAAGTGCCGCTGCAGGAATGATTGCTCGTCCTCTGCTTGGACTTCGGCTTCGCGGTTCGCGCCGCTCTGCAATAGACAATACACCGTATAAAAGACATTGTGACGAGGACATAAGGTACTTAAGGGCCTATCGTTCGTGTATGGGTATTTAGATGACATCCTGATCTTCTAGCCGAATAAGGAACAGCATGTGGAACACCTCCGTCAGCTTTTCCAACGCTTAAGAAACTATGGCATATTAATTAACGTAGCCAAATGTGAGTTTGATCAATCATCGATTACATTCCTTGGCTACCAGCTCACACATGATGGTATACGCCCGTTGGAAGACAAGGTCCAAGCCATTTTAGACTTCCCAATAATATAAAAGAACTTCGTCGTTTCTTGGGAATGTACAATTTTTACCGCCGCTTCATCACTCAAGCTTCAGCAATACAGGCACCTCTCAACGTCGCCTTGGCAGGACCTAAAAGAAAAGAATCGCAAGCCATAGTAATGACAACCGAGATGATCAACGCGTTTGATTTATGTAAATCAGCCTTATCAACGGCGGTCATGTTGGCTCACCCAGATCCAGATGCCGATAGGCTATTTTCACGAACGCTTCGAATGAAGCTATAGGGGCAGTTCTACACCAAAAGGTGGATAGTTCCTGGCAGCCACTGGCATTTTTCTCCTGACTCCTTAAGTCGGCAAAGGAAATACAGCACGTATGATCGTGATCTACTGGCCATTTACGATGCCATCCGACATTTCCGACATATGATAGAAGCTAGGACTTTTGTCATACACGGACCACAAGCCTCTCACGTTTGCATTTTCTTCCAGATGTGAAAATTGTTCACCTCGCCAGTTCCGCTATCTCGACTACATATCACAGTTTTCCACAGACATTAGATACGTGTCTGGAGAGTAGAATGTAGTCGCCGATGCTCTTTCTCGCATAGAAGAAGTGGGAGAACCCCTCGATCTGCAAGCTCTCGCACATTCTCAAGTACAAGATCTTGAGCTACAAGAACTTCTCAAGAATGGTTCAGCTTTAGAACTGGAGAAGATGAAGTTTGGGACAGTAGATCTATACTGTGACATCTTCACAGGAAAACCAAGACCCTACGTAACCAGTCCCTTTCGCCAGCGTATTTTTAAAATACTTCATGGGTTGAGTCACCCAGGAACCAAGGCCATGTCAAAACTGATAACGCAAAGATATGTTTGACCAGGTATTAAGAGAGATTGTAACCAATGGACGAGGGGATGCAACGACTGCCAACGTTCCAAGATCCGCCGTCATACATCCTCTCCAACCACTCCCTTTTCCACCCCGTCACATAGATTTTCCCATTTCCATATGGACATCGTAGGGCCTTTACTTATTTCGCTTGGTTACAGATACTGCCGCACGGTCATCGATCGTTTCCGTTAGCGCAAAGGTAGAAAATATATCAATAAAGGTACTAAATATTAGAACATAGGTAGTAAATAATAAGCACAGTTTGATTTGTATATCTCGATTGTCCAGCCATCCTGACGGATACTTTGTGGTACCTTCGTTGTTTACAATTTCCATACCACAAGTGCTTTAGTTACTTACTTTGGGATCAGAGTAACGTATGAGATGTTGTCTAATATTTATTTATTTAATTTCATTTTATCACAGTTAAGGAAAAAACTTTAATAAGATTTAATAAAAGTTTCAATCTGAGTCTATTATGTTTTCTTTTTATTGGTGCAAAACCTTTTCTTTTTTTTCCTTTTTTTTATATACATGACAGGCAAATGATTCCACTCCACCTGATGTTAAGTGGAAAGTGGTATCCAAACGCGAAGGAACCTAGTGCAGCGATGAAATCCTCACTGCACTAGCCACCTCCACCCTGCCTGCCTACAATATGTCTCTTCACGCCTCGTTTGAAGGACCCCATATACCCCAAGGATGGAGAAGGAGGGGTCCTCCAAATGACGCAGACGGCGACAGCAAACATCTGCCCGGACAAACAAGCAGATCCCAGCTTTCGCTTTGAAGGACTCTTCAAGCATATAGCCAGGGTAATTCAAGTAGCTGCTGTCACCCGGGCAGAGTATTTGCATCTCCGTAAGGAACAGCAACCTAAACTTTATCACAAAACGCTACTAAAGTATGTCACGTCCACGTGTCATTTGCTCCAATTCATGGAAGGGAACTTTATGTACACACAGAGATTACTTATTTATACATAAAAATGTAAACATATGACAATTAGTGGAAAATGTTCTCTTTTAAAGCTGCGTAAGATCTTACGTCCTCTACGTTATGCAAAAAAGTAAAATTTGGTAGTTATTAATGGAGTTACGTCAATTAATATTGATGTAATAGAAAAGTATAAACTCACTTTTCGTATCGCTGGCTGAACAATGACGTCCCTGTAGTAGTCGTCCGGCTTACAGGACTGCATGTTCTCGTACAATATGCTAATCTTCTTCATGCTGTCCCACCCTGCTGGACTGATAATGGGATATATTTAAAATTGACCCGTGTGTAGTTGTTGAAGATCTTTAAAAATGAATCGGGTGCTTTTGTCTCCGAAATCTGTATGTTTTTGCCGTCTTTGAGTCGATATCTTCAATTAACCCTAAAATTTTTCTGTTTTTAGTGTAAACAGCCTTATTTTATTTACTAATATTAAGCTCCCCGAATTTTGTGAGAAAAAAATAAAGAAACAAAAATTGTGAAAAAGCAACAAAATAAAAACCGAGATGGCCAAAAAATTAAGTAGTGTTCATTGGAGGTATCGAAATATAAATGTTCATTACGAAAAGTAAAAAATTAGCACACATAACGACATATTTAGCGAAACGCGAGTAAAATCTCCAAGAAAATGCAGTATTTAGTCAAAATTCGGGACGGTTATTTTACTTTTTTTTATTTTTGGTCTTAAGTTGAAAATATACAAATAGTCGACTGTCATTTCTTCATTTATTTCTTTTAATTTCCTACTAGGTTTGTTGAGTGTTTTGAGGTTGATTAGGCGTTCTTGCTTGATTGAATCAATGCTAAGCTTGTTATAATTTAATATGTTTATTATGAAGATCGAACACTAAAAAAAATTCCTTCGATCCGGCTGGATTCGACCCAACGTCTTCCAGCAAACCGTGGCAGACGCTATGCCAACTAAGCCATGGAACGAACTAGCGGAGTAGTGGATCTTACGAATTTTTCTACGTGCTTGTTGCAGAACTTTGTTTTTTTGTTTATAACGACTTTTTTGTAGTAGCGCCATCTGTGAGAAATCTATTTCTTCACTCAGCCAGGTACCTTTACTTACAGCTACCAGCAGCTGACTAGAGATGTCGCTTTAATCATTGTAATTTTTCAATTTTATTTAATAGACTAACAGAACTACTCAATACTCTAGTCAGGACTTGAGTATGATTTCAAGCACTACAAATCATACTCAAGTCCTTACCATTACGGTCGTATTTCCAATGCTTGAAATCATACTTAAGTCCTGGCTTGAGCATTGAGTGGAGTTCAGGAATACGACCCATTTTTTTTTACATACAGTTATAAAAATTAATAATTATAACAAAAGAGTGAAGTAATTTCACAAAAATAATTGAACATCTTGGTGGTCACACATTGTCATAATTAATTAATTAAAACTTAACAATGCTAAGCTGTTACAACTTTTAAATCTTCAACCATTTGTACTTTATTAAGTAGAAATGGCTACGTATAATTCGTATTAAGAAATAAATGAATACAATTTTTTGTCTTAAAAACGTCCGTCCGAACGACGTCCAATAAAAATGACAATTTCTTCTGTTTGTAAAATTTATTACCTAAAAAGTTTCAGTAGGGTATGAAACATTTCGTCGTTTGTAACACTGCGATATTCGTACTTTCTCGGATTTGAACGCAGATCGGACGTAGTACGTAAATGCGCTTAATTTCAAATAAGTATATAATACTCAATCAAGTTACAAGACGAATGATGCGAATGAAGCTTCATACTTGACATTGTGTTTTAATTTGGTCGGGTATTATTTATTTGATAGTAATTGTTTCGGACATATGTCGGACGGAGAACTAGAGTAGACGCCCTGATTTGTTCGTAGAAATAATAGTAATTCTTTATTGACAGGTATATAAATGCCTCCGTGGCCGAACGGTTACCATGCCGGACTGCTACGCAGAGGTCCCAGGTTCGATTCCCGGGCCGGGAGAAACATCTGTATGGCTATTTCTGTCGTGAGTTTGTGTGTGGCCATGGCACCCGCGATACAAGGTTTCCCTAGTGCGGGGCTATGTTCAATGTGTGCTTTATTATTGTTGTTATTGTTATACAATATAAATAAAAGCAAAAAGCAATAAAATAATTGGCATACAATATAAATAAAATACAATAAAATGCGCTTATAAGACAAGCCTGTCATTTCTTATTTCCATCACGACGCACGGAAAACCAGTATTTAAAAAAGGAATTGTGCACGTGCTCACAGAGAGTACGGAGAATCCTGTTGTCAGACGCACGGAGACGGCTCCAAAAGTTGACGACGCGAGACGTTATTATTGTGAAAAAATCAAGAACTCCGGCCTCGGCGAACATACTCAATGCACTGCAGTATCTGGGCTGGTTCATTAGAATGCGATACGCATCATTATACTGCACTCTAATGGGGACATTTTTTTTTATAGTCCCGTACTAGGAAACCCTGGATCGCGGGTGGAATGCGGGTGGGATAGTAAATAAATGTAGGCCATACAAATGTTTCACTCGACCCGGGAATCGAACCTGGGACCTCTCCGTGGCAGTCCAGCAAGGTAACCGTTCGGCCACTGAGGCAGTTATTACAAGTGATTGCTCACTGGTTTCTCATTGTGTTAAATTAATAAATATACACTCACATTAGAACAGCATCCTTTTCAACAATAAGCGCTGGCGTACGGAAAGGCAGCCCGTATATCCTGTGAGTGAGGTACTTGTACAAGAGATCGCAATTCTTATCCTCCTTGGCGCTAGTGTAGAATAGCGCCGCGCCATATTGGAGGCAGAACCGCCGAATCCACTGCTGCATGAAGTCGAAGTGTTCGTCGCGGTAATCGTGTTCTTTTTCTAATGTGCTCATGTAGTCAGTCTGTGGGATAAACGATTTAGTTATCGATGTGTACTAAAGGTAATAGACGTGAACTCGTGCGATTCTCAGTACCTGTGGTCCATTTTGGCTTAACAAAAACGAAAGGATCGTAATTTGTTTGCCTGTAGATTTCATTGATAACATATTTAGCATTCTTGTTTACCTCGACATAATCATAAGCAGTATGTATACTGCCAATTGCTATTCGGTGCAACTACACAACGACTGCAAGAGCCGAGAATATTCTGTTTATATAGAATATTATAAAAAATAGACAACGTTTAATTAACATTTTATTTGTCAGATTAAAATAAATATTTCGATAAATGTTTTGTTGTAATTATCGGTGACGTCCATCCTTTTTCTTGGTCACCTGAGAATACCCGGTAAATGCCGAGTATTAACCATTTTGGATCTCAATGCTTAGATATTAAGCTTTACATTTGTTAACGCCTGACGTTAAAGTGTTGACAAAAGTGCGACGTCCATCCTTTTTCTTGGTCACCTGAGAATACCCGGTAAATGCCGAGTATTAACCATTTTGGATCTCAATGTTTAGATATTAAGCTTTACATTTGTTAACGCCTGACGTTAAAGTGTTGGCAAAAGTGTGCATCTGAAATTGTACTCCGAATATCTTTTTTTTTGACAACTCACTTCTCCGCTAATTGTGTTAGCGAAAGCATTGATATTAAATTCTAAATTACAAAAACGCTGTATATAGTGCCGATACAAGACTAAATAAAGTTCGGTAGTTTCATTTGTGTACACCTGTGCATGAACAACTTTATATTTCTTTCTTATTTTGCAATTGCGATGCAGTCGGTATAAGTATGCAAATAAGTAGAATATAAAGATACCAACCTTGGTGACAACCACAACAATATCAAGACCAAGATTGGTAGTAAGTACTCCGTCCGGAAGAGGGGAGTCTTCTTCCTCCTCAAGGTCATCGGATAGGTTCCTAGACGATCTTTTCATTGGCGACGACGCCGACGCCTCGAGTTCATCACCAGGCTCTGTATACCTTTGCCATTTCTGGACTTGCTGTTTTTTACTTTGTAGCCTTTGTTCTGTAAAAAGTACAAATGCATCTTAGGGTGCTGCGTTATATACATTAAAATAGGTTCAAAATATGAATAGGGATCGAGAATGCTCGGTTTTGAAAGCTGAGGGCGCCTTACCCGATTACTGTAAGTAAACTTTATTGTATATAAAATCAAATACAGTTGAAATTTAGACAAGAAGAGAGGCAGAAGTTAGATAGCGACTATGTGGTCTGTGATAGGGACGATATGATTTTACAACAAGCAGTGCACTTTTTTTTAGTTGTACTTCAGCCTATGCTTGACTTTTGGATTTACATTTTTCCTATAATCTATTTCACCGACCAACTCCGTAAACGCTGTTGGATAACGATATCGTATCCGAACCCGAATCAAACGTTTAACTCGGAAAGCGTCCTTCGATTCCAGAACGATATCCAATAAAATGATTCGTTTAAAATATCGAAGAGTGCTAAATCGGGATCCGAACGCAGTATTGCTCATATTGCTGTTTAACGGCAGAAGTAGGTACGGTGGCATAGGTATATTTTTTTTAATGCAAAACAGACGTCGCCTTATGTTACGGCCACAATCACACTTTATATTAATCGATGATGTGACTGAATTAAAATAAAATTAATTTTAGTGTGTTTTCGTGCAAATTGACAACACGTTTTTGACACTGCAACATGTATTACAATAGTTTATCATTGCTGACAATCATCTGACAATGAAACAAATCAATAAACCAAATCCTAATAAACCAAAAGCCGGCAAACAATCAGATCTGGTAGCGAGCAGCTGCCCCATTATGCCACTTGGTATTGTGCTCAAGCACTGATCAAACAGTATGCGACAGGCATGACGCAACTGGTGAATCATAAAATTTATTGGAATACATGTCGAGATCTTAAATTGGTATTAGCTTTAGGAGCTTTTTCAAGTTATCTATTATTATTTAACCATAGTAAGTTATTATAGTCAGCAAAGAGAGATGATATCCCAGTGGGTGGATGTTTGCTTTTCAATTTGAGACTGTGTGACGGTACATTTAATTGTAGAGTCGGCTGACTAAAACACATGTCCTATGTTACGGCCACACTAAGGTATAAAGGCATTAATTATCGCATTAACCTTTATTGTATAAAGTTGTTGCTGATACAGATACAACTTCATAACAAATGCAATCGGCGCGCCGTTCAGTTCAGTTTGATCAGGCGCTCCGATCGTACGCATGCGCACGCTTCCGTGTTGTGTATGCGTAGTGAAAATGGCGACGCCAGAAATTGACATTTCAATGATAAAACTTAATGACTTCATATATACGAAGATGTTTTGTTTATAACATTGATTTGTCAATATTTGGCGTCGCCATTTTCTCTAGCATTTTAGTAGCTGCAGAGCTCCCCGTGAAAGAGTTCGTCCAGGGTTGTACTGCCACCTTACCTATTTATGCCGCCAAGCAGTAATGTCAGCATTACTATGTTCTGGTATCGAAGGGTAAGGGTGCAGGTGAAATTACAGGCACATGAGACTTGTCAACTTATGTCTCAGGGTGACGGGCGCTGTGGTATAGTGCCTCTCAGATCTTTGCAATTTAAAGCTCTGAGTGGCACTGTAACCGTTATGGACTGGCGTGTAGCTTACCACCAGGCGCACGACTTGTTGGTCCCGTCACATGATGTTGTAACAATAAAATAAAAAATAAATAAAAATTTTATTACTACAGAAAATACGTTATTTTATTTTTTCCTTTGAAAAAGTATTCGTATAACGGTTTCTGTAAAAACAAACACCGTTATACAAATTCGTTACATGGTCGAGCTCGCGCCGGCGCCGATTGGTCTATTATCGGCGCTCATATCTACCTTCACATCACCGGATGCTGATTTCATGTATTAAAAAACGCGAAAAATTTACATTTCTCCGCGAGATACTTCTATTCTCGCATAGACATTTCACACGTTATGTCGCTCTCGCCCAAGTCGCGCTTGTTTGTGCTAGCCTTACAGTTTCGTTACATGAACTCGCTTCCATTCCCTTCCGCGGCAATGTAAGCTATACCTAAGCCTAATTATTATTTTAATTCCCGTAAAATAATAATAATGAAATATAAAAGCTTCAAACAGCAATAAATATGAGTTATTTTTAAGACCTATGACTGAACTAGTTACATTTTGTATAGGACTGCAGCGCACCGATGCAAGCGTGTGACTCATCACTTCACCTTGCAGTTTAATGTTGGACGCATATATCACTGTTGTTGAGATATTATGTGATACACTCACAGGCAACAATGATTGTCGGCTTTGCAAAAAAGGGGCACTTTTTAAACCACCTTTCTGATCCTGATATATCCTGGCGAATGAGTTCATCCAGTGAAGAACTGCCAACTGTAATTTTTTTTTTGCCGCCAAGCGGTAATATGAGCAATACCGCGTTCCGGTTTTGAAGGGTGAAATTGCAGGCACATGATACTTGTCAACTTATCTGTCAGGGTGACGGGCGCAGCGGCAGTGTCTCTCAGATCTTTGCGATTTAAAGCTGAGTGGCCCTGCAACTGCTATGGACAGGCACGTCGCTTACCAACAGGCGCACGACTTGTTCGTCCCGATTATAAAAAAAAGATTAGCTATGCGATTTTAAAGCCCGTGAACCAGCCTAATTACACGGGATGACTTTTCGATTTCATCGCAACTCCCAATAACAGTTTCAATGCGGGCGCGACTGCAGTTTAAGACTGCTGGGAATGGAAGCGACTGCACTTTATATAGCATATAACTTGGTTCAAATACAGTCAGCCCAAGTGCAATAATGTAGCCAATTTACAATCGGCGTACATGGCATAAAATGTTGACAGTTACCATGAAATTATATTTATTTTTATAATTTAGTGGAATACGTGTAAATTCTGCAAATGCATTTTTTTAAATTCTAGCTGGTTTTTTTACAGTTTAATTTTGGGTCGACTTTGAAAATGAAAACAATTATCGTCAAATTTTTTTTTTTCATCAATTTGTTTTACTTTTCTCCTCATACAGGTTAGTCGAGTTTCGAACCACTCGATTTAGCATTCCTGCAAATTTAAATACTTTACAACTTTAAATAAATAGTTTATTAGTTATTAAACTTTCATTTAATACGTGTTAAACTGTTGCAATTTTTTAATTTTCAGTCGTTTTTGCTTTGTCACAAAGTCTGAATAAATGCATTTTGTGTAATTTCGGATTTGTCAATAAATGTTGAGTAAGGCTGTGTCAAGTAATAACGCACACACTCAACAATAACGTACACACTCAACATAGACTCGCACTAAGGAAACCCTGCGCGGGTGCCACAAATTACACCCAAACTCAGGAGAGAAATAAATGTAGGCCATACAAATATTTATCTCGGGCCGGTAATCGAACGTGGGACATCTGCGTGGCAGTCCGGCAAAATGGTAACCATTCAGCTGCGGAGGCAGTTAAGTCGATGTTCAATTAATTGTCACTGTGTTTAATTCTTATTCCCATTCTACTTACGACTAAATAACAAATTAGTATCTCCAAGATTTACATTGAAGATGGCTCATTCATAGTGTGACCAAGCTCTAAGATAATTAGATAATATAGTACCAAGTCGTATATATTCTGCATCGAGCTTAAGAAATAGACGATTGGCTGATTTCGGATTTGTAGAGAATCGCATAATGTCACTCATACCTATGTGACATTGTATGCGATGGAGACCAGTGTTGCCAGATGGTTACATTTCTTAAAACGGTTACACGCGCGCGATTTTAAGGAGCGATGCAAACGCGACTCAAGCTCGCTACTGCATCGATACAAACGCGCGATTGCAAATCGCAAGTGTAGTGATGCAAACGCGCGTTTCACGAAAGGGCGAAAAGTCGCCGTCTGTAACCACTCTTACATTTTAGAAACTTTTGACCCTCTCGCGTAATATGTAAGAAACTTTTTGTTTTCGAAGAGATTTTTAAAATTCAACTACATTTGTTATTGTATATTACAAATAGTTTACGTCCCGCATTCAAATAATACAATAAAGTAACTTAATGATGGCGCAAACAAAATGAAATCAAAGAATTATTGGCCAGAACTTTATTTTCCTTGAGCGTACCTACGTTTTTGTTTTTTTTTTGGGATTTAGGCGTAGGTATACAAGTATAAATAAATAAAAAATAAAATACATATACAAATACTTTGTATTTTTAGGACTTTTTAATTTTAATTAATATTAGAATAAATAGATTTGTCTTCATTTTGTTATAATTTTAAACTAGGCTGAATGTACGTAAAACTATGCCAATGTATAAGATTTCTCTTCTGTCAAAAATTTGTCTGTACCTTTTGTGTCTTGCTTCTATCGAGTATATAACCAGAAATACAAACAAAGTATCATTTGATTTGTTTGAAAACTATTCTGCCAAACCATTACGGTGACAACTGCGCTCCGATTGGCCAGCCCGAATTTGAAACAATTGACGGGTGTCGTCAACTGTTTCACTTCAAATCTACCAGTTTAAGAGCTTTGCTATAATGGACAAAAATGGAAAAATTACATATTTAATATTTAATTACCGATGAAATATGATTCCGTTGGTTTTGTAATTAGATGTTCTGCGTTTTTCCCACACCACTGGATGTCGTCAATTAATAAAGCAAAAACCAAAGTAATGACTAACAGATCTGAAAAACCTCTAACTGTAGATGTAGAATACATTGAATGTGTAGGATCCTACATTTATCTGGGCCAATTAGTGTCATTTAGTGATCAAACTGAGCAAGAAACAGAAAGAAGAGTTACCAACTCTCGGAACCGATATTGGTCACTCAAAGACATATTTAAAAACAAGCGCTATCCAATGGCAGCAAAGAGAAAGGTCTTTAACATCTGCATCCTCCCAATTTTGACCTATGGATGCCAAACGTGAGCGTTGACTAGTAAACACCATGAGAAACTCACAACCTGTCAAAGGGGAATGGAGAGAATTATGCTGGGATTCTCTCTAAGAGACAAAAACA